ACAGTACAGTAGGGCGACAGTGGGTTAAACGATTACTTTATCAGCGGTGCTGTATGCTTCTGGGCTCAAACAGCAAGTAGAACAGGTGAGGATAGTCACAGTACACAGTACTCTCTCTTCAGTTCACAATAGGGGGACAGTGAGTCATAAAGTTACTTTACCAGTGGTGCTGTATGCTTCTGGGCTCAAACAGCAAGTAGAACAGGTGTGGATCTTCACAGTACAAAGTACTCTCTCCTCAGTTCACAGTAGGGCGACAGTGGGTTAAACGATTACTTTATCAGCGTTGCTGTATACTTCTGGGCTCAAACAGTAAGTAGAACAGGTGAGGATAGTCACAGTACACAGTACTCTCTCTCAGTTCACAATAGGGGGACAGTGAGTCATAAAGTTACTTTACCAGTGGTGCTGTATGCTTCTGGGCTCAAACAGCAAGTAGAACAGGTGTGGATCTTCACAGTACAAAGTATTCTCTCCTCAGTTCACAGTAGGGCGACAGTGGGTTAAACGATTACTTTATCAGCGTTGCTGTATACTTCTGGGCTCAAACAGTAAGTAGAACAGGTGAGGATAGTCACAGTACACAGTACTCTCTCTTCAGTTCACAATAGGGGGACAGTGAGTCATAAAGTTACTTTACCAGTGGTGCTGTATGCTTCTGGGCTCAAACAGCAAGTAGAACAGGTGGGATCTTCACAGTACAAAGTACTCTCTCTTCAGTTCACTGTATCACTCTGGGCTTCTGACGGGGGCAGATATAATAACCTTCCACGAACGTGTAAGCATGGATGGGGGCCACTTCTCAACAAAGACACAGCACACTTGTGTTCACTTCAATTCCACAGCAATAAATCAATGTGTATCAATAAGGCAAAAGCACTGCAATTCACTCACACGATAGGGTTGGACAGAGGCCCCACTCCGGCCGTTGCGCTCGTTTACAGGGTTTTCACTTTTAATTCCTCCTCATCACACTCTGAAACACATAGCTCCTCCAACAGTCAGATCCACATTCACTGTATCCTCTTCAAGTGGTTCAAATGTTCATAAGATGAAAACAATTCACTTATCTTTCCTCTCTCCTTCCACAGCACAGATCCAGCCCTAGCTCGGTCCAGCAGTCTTCCCACAAACGATCAATCTGACCCAGCAAACTCGAATGGGCGATCTCCACACTCCAACGATTTTTCCAAGGAAGCCTGTATCCAGCACTGCCCAGAGTCAACCCTTTGGAATCTTGACACACTGTACACCCACCAACCGCACTGCAAACACTCTCTAAATGCTCCTTTTATATTGTGGCTTATGAAACAGGAAGCCTGTGTGAGCGCCGCTCCTCTCTCTCTCACACCTGCAATGCATTAGCGCTAATCAGTACGGGCATGTTTCCATCACACCCGGAACCGTAGTGGAGTGTTGCACCCAATACGTTCCCCTAGGAAACTCAGGACTCTCAAGAAGGTTCCGTTTACTGAGCGATTTTGTCACCCGTGACATCCCCCCTTGCCAATCGGTTCCAGTCCCTGGAACGGGCGTCCCTCAATTCCATTCGCCGTACCTCTCAGGTGGTTGTCCTCGGGTGTTCCGTTGAGATCGTCGGGGTGGCGAGGGCAGAGCCGCTCTGGCTTCAACCTCAGGGTCCCTCGGGACCACAGCCCACCCTATCATAGGTGCCTCTAAGGCGGGTGGTGCACTTGGAGCCTCAGCCGCTAGTTGCGGGTAGTTCGGGCAGGGACGGAGCAGGTTTCGATGGAGCACCCGTATTGGTCCGGGCTTCCCTTCGGGCCGTACAGAGTAGACGGGGGCATCAGGCCCTTGTCGTTGTTCCACCACATATGGCGTCGACTCCCAGCGGGCACTGAGCTTCCCTTTCCCTGGGCGCCGGTTGTCCCATACCAGCACTCGCTCCCCAGGTAACAAAGGGGCCTCTCGGGCAGTCCGGTCGTATAGTCTCTTATTCTTGGCGGCTGCTGTACTCAGATGGTCTGAGACTCGTCGGTAGGCATTGAGCAGTTGGTGGTGGTGCCGATTTACCCAGTCAGTGGTACTATACCCTCTTTCCACAGCCTCGGTCCCCATGAGCAAGTCCACAGGCAAGCGGAGGTGGCGCCCAAACATAAGGTAGGAAGGAGCATAACCGGTGACACTGTGCACACTGTTGTTGTATGCTTGTAACAGCGAGGGAAGACTCTCGGCCCATTGGCCCTGTTGCTCACTCTCTAGGGTCCCCAGCAACCCCAGCAAGGTCTGGTTGAATCTTTCGCACCCTCCGTTACCCTGAGGGTGGTATGAGGTCGTATGGGTCTTTCGGCACCCATAGAGGCGGCTCAGCTCTTGGATGACCCGGGACTCGAAATTTGAACCTTGGTCCGAGTGTAGGGTTTCTGGGCAGCCAAAAGGTTGTATCACTGCTCTCCAAAGGGCGTTGGCTGTGGTAACTGCCGTTTGATCGACGGTGGGGACGGCCCAGGCATATTTAGTAAATAGGTCCGTCATGACCAGAATATTCTGGAATCGGTCTGTTGGTCGACCCAGAGTCAGGAAATCTATCCCTACGATATGCAGAGGTGCTTTCGGTCGCAGGGGGACCAATGGGGCTCGGACCTCCTTCCTGCGTTTGAACAAGGTACACCGTGGGCAGCTCTGAACAAATTCCTCAACTTTCTTTTCCATCCTAGGCCAGTGGAAATACCTCCTCAGCAGGGACAGTGTCCTCTCTTGGCCCTGATGACCAGTATGGGTGTGATAGGCATTCAACAGCTCCGAAACTTGGCCCTCTGGTACAACAACTTGGTGTACAGTCTCCTGTGTGCGGGGATCCCGTCTTGAACGACAAATTACTCCTTCTCGGAGTTGCAGCCTCTTCCACTGTCTCAGAAGCTGTCGTACCCCCACCGTCTGAGACCGTCTTTCCTCTGCCCTCGGCATGTTTCCCTGTCGGAGGTACAACAGGAGCTGACCCAAATCCGCATCTCTCTGCTGCAGCTCTCTCCACCGTCCGGGGTCCCACCCCCAACTAGATGGAACAGACTCCGGGGCCCCGGGAGCTTCCACCACGGCCACCAGCAGCTCATCTTCGGTACCAAGGGCACCGAGGGGTGCTTGATCGTCCCTCTGGGTGGCTGGGAGTCTGGACAGGGCATCTGCATTTACGTGCTCTCTGCCGGGACGGTATTTTAGCTGGTAATCATAATTTGCTAGCTGTGCCACCCAGCGCTGCTCCACTGCCCCCAATTTAGCGGATTGCAAGTGTACTAAGGGATTGTTGTCTGTAATCACCGTTACCTTGGCTCCCCACAAGTAGTCTTTAAACTTCTCCGTCATGGCCCACTTCATCGCCAGTAGTTCGATTTTAAAGGAGCTATAGTTTGCAGCGTTTCGTTCGGCGGGATGTAAACTTCGACTTGCGTAAGCTATCACTCTCTCCACTCCTTGATGCTCTTGGGCCAGCACGGCCCCCAATCCTGCATTGCTGGCGTCAGTGTACAGGAGAAACGGCTGGGTGAAATCTGCATAGGCTAAGATTGGGGCCTTCAGGAGTTCCTGTTTAAGGTTCTGGAAAGCGGTCTCACAGGTGGAATCCCAGTGTACTGAGGGGGAGCCTTTACCACGGGCACGTCCAGTGCCAGCCAAGAGTTGGTTCAGTGGCTTAGCAAGCCCAGAGAATCCCTTTATAAAGCGACGATAATATCCCACAAAGCCCAGGAACGACCGCACCTGTCTTACTGTCCGGGGTGGCTCCCATCCTTGGACCGCCGCCACCTTCTCTGGGTCAGGGGAGATCCCTACAGCACTGACGCGATGT